GAAAGAGAGCGAGAGACACTACTGGCGCTAAGAAGGGACCTGTGGTTCTTCCAACAAGTCAGTCACATACTCGAGTATACGTTGGACGGAGACGTCGTTCACACTCGTTAACCGATACGCAATATCGAACACGGATATGTGTTTCGTAAGACATGTGCAAACTCGCGGTTGAATCACACGATACGTCCTTGAACGAGAATGCAAGTCTCTGAGATAGATAAGAAAGAAAAGCGAAATTAATTTTCCGCAGAATAGTTTGAAAGAAAAGACCACGAGATCGATTTATTCGATTTCTGTAGTAATGAGACGCGCGCATTTCGCGGTGAAATCGCTAGAATCTTGAGTGTGCCAAGTGAGAGAGAGTGTGCGCGTGCTTTGTTATATCGAGTGCATCGTATGCAGCTTGGAATGCAACCGCGTGCCGCGGTGTATTGCATACCACCGCGGAGTGCGCGATCACTGGCAGAAAAGGGAAAAGTATACTGTGGGGATTTCTAAATATGCGAGGTCGCGCCTTGAGGAGAACGGTTGTTTCGACTGTTTAAAATCACCGCGATTCGATCTTTTTTTTTTTTTTTTTTTTAACAGGCGTAGTGTCAATTAAATTTTTCTAACCGGTTAGCCTGGATTGATTGGACACTGCAATCATTACCTGCGACGCACGCAATCGAGGGTTCGTTATTACGTGATTACGTAAAAATGTCACGCGGAGAAATAACATAGCTCGCGAAATCGGAGAATTCAGATTGCACGCAAGAAATCCTCTAGAAAAAAAAAAAAGTTAGTTTTCTACCGCAATTTTTAATCTGCATGCAAATCGAATGGAGATTCTATTCACGAAGAGATAGCGACTGGGATATTGACAAAATATCTCAACAAGTTTATCTTTGTGCAGTGACATTTAATCTGAGCGTAAATTGAAAGAACATCTGATTAACCATGTGCATTCAAAAAAATTTCGAGTATTTTAAAGTAGAATAGGAATTATAAATCTAACATATATATATGCTAATAAAGTTACGTTTTCTCTTCGACATCCGATTCGAATATTAATGAAAAGAATTATCTATAGTTTGTATTCGGAAATTTCGTATTAGAATTCAGATTAAAATATCTTGGACAAAATCACCTTCACACTTTTCAATCCGTTTGAATATTTGCTATTTCAAGCGAATTTCTTCATCTGTAGTGGATCTTTCTGGATATATTTATCTATTAACTGTCGATTAGCTAAGTAAATTTTGTAAATCATATTTACGCATAATTAAATGAATATTTATTGACGTGAAGTTTATGCATCATCAGATCGGAATTTATCGATTTTGATTATCACGCAAGCTGAATTCGACGCGAGTATCGACTCTCCGTCGATAATCCCGACCTTTAAACATGTTTCAGACCAGGTTATCTTTCGCTGAACGCTAGATTAAATTCAAGCGTTGACGTAATACATGATCGCACTTAATCGCGAGGCAAGCCGCTTTGAAAAAAATGGCAGTCACGGTCTCGAAACGTCATGCGTCGTGTTATTTTTTTCTCCGGTCGATTGAAATATCGTGTCACGGCAATGACACGTGACACGATACAGGATGGTCGATCACCGCGTTGCTAACAGAAAAGTCGATTTGTGTTACTAAAAGCGTAAAGCAAAAAGTTCCATCGATATTTAAAAAATAATTATCTTTATTAAAATTAAAAATTCTAGCTGTATAAAACATTACAGCGGATAAAGAGATAAAATGAAGGAAAAGAGCAATAGGCAATTTACGCGAACATTAACTAAATCTTCTTGTTCTATTTAGAGATATTCTTTCGACGACAATTTCTTTGCAACGTGTAATTTTTTGCTCAGTCGTTCGTGTTCGGATTATTTCGTTAAATCGAAGCGCGACGTTTATCGGCCGTAAATGAAAACGTAACTTTGAGCAATTGGATTCTGTGGCAGCGGGATAGAACTGGTCGCTTCGCATTTCGTCGAAGCGACTCTCGTGTCTCTCCCGAGACAATCAAGTTTTCGGAACGCGAATAGTGTCGTTAGAACGTAACGCCGTAAACAACATGCCGAACGAGGATTGCTCGTCGTTTCCATCTGGATCACAAGCACGTATGTTGACGTTGATGGTGTAAGGGCCCCGATGATATGGGAGCCGGCAAAATGAATAGAGAGATTCCCAGCAGCACCCTCGCGACCCTGAGGGGGATCCTGGTGAGCTCATTGTCGAGGGAGAACCTCGGCCCTCACGACCTCCCCGTTCACGAGCACACGAGGCATCGACCGCCCAGAAAGGTGCACTTTCACGAAGGTAAACTGGAAATATAGCGCGATAACTTTTTTTCTCGATGATGGGGAAACATATTTTTCTGGGTAAACGTGCGCTATTTTTATACAGGATGATAAACAATTGCTTGATCTTTCTTCTGTAGATTTTGTGAGTCACACATGCATAGGCACGTATTAATATAAAAATATGTATTATTTTCTCACTCAAGATTCTGAAACAGCAGGCAATTTATATTCGAAACGATTTAAAGTTGTGCAAATCAAGACTAGATTATGCATTAAGTTCCCAACAATGAATGCATCCTCAAGTTGCATTCTCCCATCATGAGATCGCGCGATAATTTAAATATAAACGGAGGAAGCGGGCACGCCCAACGACCGACGACAATGTTGATCGACTGCATCGATCCCCATGCGATTTATGTACACCATAATCGTTATAGGATGAATATAACGAGCAGATTGAATCGTATCCCACGGCATCGATACGTGCGGATTTAAATAATTATACCAGTAGCAATCCGGGCAGGTAAGTGTGCGCGGTCTACGCGCGCGGAGCATCGATTTATTCTGTTAATAAACAATTTTAATTCGCTTGAAATGACGAAACTCTTGAAATCTCGACGATTGACTATGCATCGAGCGTTAAGTGGCGGCTCGCCTTCGCCGCACGCTTCAAGGATATCTTCCAGTTTTGCGCGTTTCGTTTACGAGAATGACATTGCGCGCATAACGTTCTTACTCAACTAGAGCAGTCGACAAAACGCGACAACGACGATTTTCTCTTAGACATAATTGATCCGCCCTAATGAATAGCAGCGCGACATAACGAGTTCCCGAGAGCATTTCACGACACAGATCTCGCCCGATTCACGGACGGACCTGTTAATTGCACAGAAATATCTATAATTCTCGGTGACGAGTCTTCGTTCTGTCGCACGGGAATGTCAGCGCAACGGGGAGCTCATTACGCCAAACCAGTAGTTTCAATATCCACTGTGTAATTTAGATGAAAATGTATTTCTTTCGGCATCCAATGTGGTATAGATATCAATCTATTACGCACTTTTTACGTAAATTAAAAACATATATTTCATATATTATAATATTTAGTCTAAACGTATCTAATCACATCCGATATTTTCGTTAAAAATTTCAAAGATCACAGAAAGAGAGATTGTATAATCGGCATATATTATAGCACGTGTTACGTACGTGAACGAATTTTCTCATCGGCGGAAACGCGCGCGTCTAAGACATATAAAAATAACGCAATTTTCTTACGAAGGGTGAGCAGAAACTCGCGCGGTCTACACCACATACGGGCGGCAATGATAAGAATCTCGCGACGCGTTTCTCGTTAAGCGCATTAAATGCGCTGCTTAGGAAGTATATAGCATCAGACTGCTGCACTGCCACTTTATAGCCGTTCTGGGAACGATCATTTCCTCGACGGCAGATCCCAGACAATTAACCGCCGCACGCCTGCTCCGTGACTAATAGAATCCGTTGATGTCACGCGCTGAAAAGTACGCGTTCTCAAACGGCGGATGTCGCGCAAACGTCGCGACGACGTTTGCGAGTCCTTCGACTCGAGTACCGAATGATGTTCGACCGAGAACCGATGCGATATAATTGGAGTGTCGTCACGTATTGTCGAAACGATTCGCACGTAAAGCTCAATGAGGAAACGTGAGATGCATCTCTTGAGGCACGTGACGGCACGCATCGATAAGACAATCGGGCGACGATTCGGAGATAAGAAAACGGCGTCCGGGATTCTCGAATCCTCCATTCATCGATTCAGCGAAATTCTTGATTGCAATTTTAAAATTTTTGATTGCGATTTTTGCGAGTAATGATTAATGCGTTATCACTCGTGAGCCTAATAGCAATTAGGCGAATTTGTGTGAGCAGGAAATGCCGCGAGGGTGGAAAAGGCCGTGCAATTGCAGGGTTCGGTAATTGTTAATTACGGGATAAATCAATCCACGTCCCAATTAATCGGTTTCATCGTTTGCGTTCACGCGACTCTGTCCTTCACCCGCATCATCTTGGTTAATTTACACGCGATCCCCGTGCAATGAAAATCATTTTCGAGAACCTCCCTGGTATGGAATGGTAGGGAGATTCTTCATTTCCGATTTGCATTTCCCGGAAAGACTCGCCGAGGGGCTGATTTTTCCTCGTTAACGTTACCATATGAAGCAATAATAATATCATATACAATAATAATAAAATATTATTACTAGAAATTATTTTTATAATTGGTTATACATATAAATGAAAAAAATATGCTAAATCCGATTACATTGCTTTTCAATAAAGTATACAAGAAATTTATATATATATATCATTATATCAATTTTTTTTTTAACGTATGTGCTGTTGCACTGATTGTAAGTTTTGTTTGCTAAAATTGAATGATCGGATAATGGTGAAATAAGAGGATCGGAAAATATTGACACGTGAGATTTCGTTTGAATCAATATTTAACATATAGTAACAAAATTTGGTAGATTATTGACAACGATGTATGCTCTCAACGTGTCTACATCGGATAAAGGTCAATATAGTTTTCATCACAGATCACTTATTGTCATCCTATATGGTTCATACATCAATATATCAATATATCCTAGCTTGAAACTGGAACAACCAATATCATTCTGTTCCTTAGAAATAAAAACAGATTTAATAGTTATAGTATGCTTATTATATGTTACAAGAGATGCTTTCTACGTTACGTACAAGTTATAGGGAAGATGTAAGTTGTGTTCAAACTCCGGACGTTTTAATATCTAATAAATTTCTATCTCTTGAGAAAATGTCGTATTATTCTCGAGAAACTGATATGTTACACCGGCAGTAACTATATTTTAGGAAAGAATTATTACTTTTACAGTATATGTTTTTTCCCATGCTCCGTTTTACGAGCAGCGTTTCACACTCTAGTGAAAATTTCGCGCATTCGAAGACTACTTTAGCGCTTCAAGAATATCTCTATCCGCATTGCGCCAAAACTTAGAACGTTCGCTATCGCGCGACATCGCATAAAATCTCAGCGTTCGATAATTATTATATAATAGACCTCATGTTCTCTCTTCTTCTGTTTCAGGTGAGTACCCCGTCATAAAGAGCCGCTATATGCATCATCCAGATAATCGCGGTATGTAGACTCGTAGAACGAATGAAACTACCATACACTGTGTTCGGTCATTCTCTTTAACACGACGTTTCATTTTATGCCATGCTTCAACAACAGTAACCCGACACAAACGCAAACCTATATTGCCTGATGGAGATCGACACCGGTAGAGTTTCTACGAGTTCAATAACTCGCAGTAATATAAAATTCGAATACGATAGTTTATTCGATAGTTTAAAGATTTTTTTTATTTTTATTGCATGAAATATAAATAAAAGATAATTCTTGTGCGTCTGTAGTATTAAAATTATATCATTTTTAATAAGTTTCGATTACTGTGTGCGTGTGTGTATGTATATATGCATGATGGTTAAAATAAATTTACGTTATCCGCTGACTCGCCAACGCAGAAATGCTTGAATAGCCTTTTAAAGACAAGATGTGATAAATTACGGCCGTAAATTAATACCCGAGATTAGAAGGAAATTTACATATCGAGACCCTCTATGGGAAACCCACGACGGTCACGCGATATTGCACTTCAACGCGCCTGCATTCTACCTATATTCCAACGCTCACGGGATATAAAGCAAGAATGATTGGTGTGCCATATTTCAGAGCCGCTTTATCGGCGAAGTCACCTTTTATGACATCGTTATCATTGCAATTTAGAGAGAGAAGAAGAAAGCTTTTTTTTAATCACTCTTCGAGGATACATACATGTTCAAAAGAGTTTAATCTGCGTTCAAAGTCGCAAATTACCAGGGCAAAACTTCGCATCTTATTATGCACTCGTTGCGCTTTTCATTCCTTCCGCGACGTGTCGAACAATGTTAAAGTAGTGCGAGAATATCATTAGGTAGGTCCTTTCCAAGACACTTTTGGTCAAAAGCAATACCTTGCCTCGAAAGGATGGTGTACGTGACAAGCAATTAATTCTGTACCCTTCGAATCTTCAGTCGAGAGTTTGCGAGAAAGTTCGTCGTGTATGTCGCCGATAGTTCGGGTCTTCCTTAATGAAGTCTTGAATACTAAAGAGAGTCAAAGAGGTTGTATGCCTCCTTGTTGGTGCATAATATTTTGTCAATTTTTTACGCAGAATTAAAAGAGTAGGAACAATATTGGACCGTAAATTTGAAACAAAATATAGGGGCAAATTTTTTTGAAAAATGAAGCCTGTTACGGACAAGAATCGACAAACCGAGGCACGAAATGGTGTCATCGACAAATGTGTCGATAAATATTGACTTTAAATCGAAGTATCGTTGACAATTGTCAAATGCACTAGTGAATAAATATAAATATGAATGATGTCAACGTGTTTTAATTTAATTGATTGCAAGTAATTCATTTTTGCGCCTGGAACGCAATTAAAGAAGATTAATTACTTATGTATATCAGTGTTTAAATTCATTATCACAGAATACCAAAGCTATTTAATACTTATTTTGAGCTACTTTTTCGATGAGTTCTACATTTCATTAAAATAAATTTGATTTATTTATTGATAAGACTCATTAATCAAGTATACATGTTTCCTTGCGATGTTCCAATTTTCAATGAATTCCTTGATAACGCACGTTTATCGCGTTTATAAGCAATTATCATTTTCCAGGTAACGAGCCAGCTCATGTTTTACGCGCTAAAATTTATAACACTTGCGACGGTAAATAGTGAGATTTAGATACTCTTATCGCGCTATCACAAATCGCAACATTTCGTATAATATCTACGACGTTGGAACAAATATCATTTCTTTCAACTTCACTAAATGGCTGTTTGCGAAACAATTTTCATCATCATCATTTACAATGCGACATAAATATTTTAATCCATATTAAGAGACTGGCTTTTAGATAGTTTTATAAAATATTCTATAATAACTTTGTTGTGTATTTAATACTTATGTCAATTCTTCCCATTCCATTATGTTATAAATGTTCATAAAAGTAATCGTAATGTTTGAAGATTGCAACTTCCGTGCTTAATCGGTTTTCGATATTTCACTCGTACGTTTATTTGATCGATTCGATCGATCGTTCAACATAACGATTGACATACTGATTGGCATGTATAAGAGAACCGTCTACAAACTAGCTTCAGATATAAACGTTATCGATATTCGGATAGAGTAGACTGTGGTATCCTATCTGTTTCCGCTGTGAATCTCGTCTCTCGATTCCGACGAGAAGATCTGAGTAAGACAATACGAGGATTCAACTGGGCTGGCTTTACGAAATAATATCGCGCGCCGTAAACGTGCTCCAAGAATATTTCATTAAATCGGTATTATTTGGGCAGGGATATATTTGATTTAGTGCGTTTGCAATAAATTATCGCGAAAAGGTTCACAATGCTATTCTTAGCAGAACACTTTTGTTCTCACGCGAATCATGCATGTACATAAGCGGCGAAGTGCAGGTTTTTAATGCAGAGGTATTAACTATAGCTGACACATAGAAGCTCACACTCTGGGAAAAAAACGCTTAATCCTTCTCTCGCGTAGATTACAGAGAAATATATTTTTCAAGAGCTTACTCTGGAACAGACAAACATGACAGCTAAAAGTTGCTGATTAAACGTATTGTATCATGAATAAAATGCATTATGATTTTTCTATTCATTATGTTTTTAACAATTTCCGATTTATTTATTTTTTTTTTATTTTCTTCAGGATGTGCGTTAGTCATTCTATAATTGTAATTCGGAGAAGTTTATTTATTTAAAACTTAATGTTTGAAATAAAAATATAATGTATTCAGCTTGTACGAAACTCCATTGTGGAATTAATGATGCAACGTATGAATATGTCAATCGACTGATCACATTCGGCACAACATTAACGGTGTCAGGACTCGAGCTAGATAAAGGGATCCGGGATCAGTGGTTCAGAACAATCCGCTCGATCCGTTTGTATTATAGCTCTCGATTTAAATACTGGCAGATCCAAACGATATTGTGTTCTCGTTTATGATTCACGAATTCTACGGATTGGCTGAATAGCGAGATTAAGATGCGCAAATGAAAATCGCTTCCATTCAAAACGCATTTACATCTCTTCGCTCTCTGCGATTATGTGCCACGACTGGAATAGTAATTAGAGTAACGTATTTAAAATAACGCGCGAGAAACAAGATTGTAGAGTTATATCAATTAGAAATTACTTACCGAAATAGTTAAATAAGTCGATAAGTTTGATGTGCCAGATGATTCAGAATTAATTTAAGTTTGTAATACAATTTGATCGTCAAAGTTATTTGAATTCTAGTTATATTCCTGGTATAATATTGGCACATGCATTTGTGCTGTAACATTATTCTAAACTGGACTACATGTTTAAATCTAATATTCAATTCACGCGTTTGTTATCTAAAAATGCGATTTTGCGACGTATATTTTATTATTATTCAACGGAGAACAACGAGAAAAATTCCAATTTTGTGGAAGAAGAATCCGAATAGACGAAAATATTCCTCCGTATTCTATTTTTGGGAATCGATGCGTAGCGAAAGTAACTCTTTCACAAGAACAAAAGGGCTATCCCGGTTGTAAGAATTGTAATCACGAGCGTATCGAAAAAATACCTCGGCTCATGAAAATCTATGCGAGATCCGTCACTATTTTTCCTCTCATTATTTTCTACGGTTGAGAATTAAAAATGCATGACATGTATGTAAAGTATATCGATATTTTTATACCAGTTAATGTTATTTTCATAATGAACTCATTTTTTTATAAACGCGAAAGAATGCCATTAACGGAGGAAATTAATTTTCGTGTAAATAGCAAAGAGCATGTTTTTTCGTTTTTGCAGTAGTTCACGGTTATTTTAATTGAATTCTCGCTCTGTTTTCTGCTAAATTTACGTTTGTTACACTTGTCGATGCTGCCGGTAGGGAGCCATTATTGCAATCCCGTTCATTGTAAAGACGAGACGAAAATTTAATTGAAAAAGTTACGTGCATTATCCAAGTAGAGAAAGAAAGAAAGAGGGAGATATGTGATAATTATATGAATGCCACAAAAATATCTTGAAAAATTTAATGTTGCATTTAATGCTCTTTTTATAGTAATATATAATATTAAAATTTTTTAATATTATTAATATTTTAAATATGTAATAAAAAAGTCTCATTTAATATCTATAGCTTTTAAAATTGCGCGAATATATCGGATAATGACACTACTCGTTCTTTGGCATCCGAGACACATGTCGTACACCTTTGTGATTCGAAAACACTCGATAACTCCGTCGAGATGGTCTACCGAAACCGACCACAATAGTGAAACAAAGGAAGCTATGGCATCGACAATATCTCGGTCGAATGAAAACGCCCGAATAAAAATGTCCCTCGATACACTTGACATAAATCTCAAACGCGATAAAAAGGTCACAGTAACGAACGATACCGAGCCGATCGTTAATGCCGTACACGAAACGCGCCATCGAGTTCATGAGGAAGTATTTCGATGGAATTTTTCCTACTTCCGGCGATTGAAATCTTACGAGCCGATATCCTGGAAATTTGATCGAGAGCGAGGGCATATTATTTTCATTACGCTTTCTTTAAAAGAATATTTTTACAGAGAATTTATCACAATATGTGCTAACAATTCTATTATTTTATATTTTTATTAGATTTATATTTTATTATTTAGAGTTAGAAATTATATTAAATTACTAAACATTCTCTTATAATATAATATTATATCAAAAAAATTTTCTCCATTACGTAAAATACATTAAACAATATAATGAAACCGTATTTATCTAAATCTCAATATCGTGTTAGATAAATATAAATTTTACAAGCATCTTATATGAAAAATTCCCAAACATGATATCACACACATTGTTGGTAAGAATATATTACTGATAACGCGGTTATGTGTGCTTGTTCTGGTTCAAGTTTTCGAATAATTTTTCTTCCTTGTGCAATAACTATATGTCTCGCGGAGATCATCGTCGAGTTTGCCATATCCGCGGCGGAAGTTTGTTGAAACTTCTGTCAAAAGTAATC